GCCCTCGGGGGATTCCTCCTAGTCTGTATTTTTTGAAGACGGAGTAAAATGACAGTTCATGGCACAAAAGTGTTGCACGCTTTCGAGCGGCTAGTGATTGCCGTCGATAAATATTCTATCGATTATCGAATGGCCGAACTTGTTACATTTGAATCATCCTCGACCTATTATTCCTCCAATTACTCCAGCACAAGTTCATTTGAATTGTCAATTTTTGTAGGTTCATACATACCCTGTATTTAGAACTATGTTTATGAAAAATACAAAGAGGAGACATATTTTGAAGTTTTTTATTTTAATTCAATATATTTATAATTCATAATCCAATCCGGCCATTCTTGTTAAAATGTATGTAAATAAAAATTGATCTCGATACTAATGGACCAACCGTCAAAATAAGAATAAAAAAGGCAATAACGCAATTAATAACTGTTAGAACGTCGTGACATTCACAATTCAGTCATTTTTGGCAAGGTTTTACTTTCTTTCCCAATCTATCGATAAAACTATCGACAACTACATAACTATTTAAAATTTTATGAAAACTGACAACCCTACAAATGTCATTTTACACCGTCTTCAAAAAACATAGTCAAATTGTGAATGGCGTTCACGTCCCAACTATGGAAAATCAACAACCCTCGCAGTCCACCAAAAAACAGCTAATAATATACAGTTACACAATGGAATGAAAGACGACAGATTGAAGACGTTTCACTAAAGTGAATGCACTTAAAATACTCTTCCCAAACATGCAAAGCGTATTTAATAAAAGACATTTGTTAGAATTTTACTTACAGTACGATCAGGAACTATGCCACATAATATGTATGTATATGTGACTCTTGACTGGATTTAGTACAGCTAACGGATTACCAAATAATGGCTTCATTCAGTCGGAAACACCATTCAGGCAGTGGAGTATGTATCTTCAGTCATATGCATTTACCATGTGCAGAAATAGAAAACATTTCGGATCGAGTTCTTAGGTTTTCGCGATTGTTAATCAGATATTAGACATAACTGGTTGAAGACTGTACCACCTCAGTCAACCGTGACCTGTAAAGGGCCCGAAACGTCGGTTTGTTTGAAAAAACAAATATACGCGATTTAAATCCGGATAAATAGTTTCATTTCCTATGTGTAACAATCGCGAAAACCTAAGAACTCGACATTAAAGAGTACTTGTCAAAATTCACAGAGATCGTAACAACATCATAACTTGTTAAAATACCGTAACTAAGGTTGTCTGACCATAACTTGGACCTAAATTTAAATGAAACGAAGATTATTCAATTTCACCCGCCACAAAAATCTCCACTACACTTACTATGTACTTATAACAACACGTCTGTAGAAACGGTACCTACATAGCTTCACTTTGCTTGGCTTAAATATAGACACGCATGTGAACTGGAAATGTCACATACGCTGTCACATAGCTTTACGTACGCGTTGAGGGAGATAAAGAAAACGACTGGACTGCAATGGCCGCTTAATATGCATACACTCATTCCAACTTAAGTTACGGAATTATCCTTTAGGGAAATAGTGTGATCGCACGAGAAATATTTACGTTTCCAAAAAGCCCATCCGTGTTCTTGCTAATATAAAGAGTACTGAGAGCTGCGGACCGTACTACTAATTAAATTTAAAATTTTAACTTTCGTTTCCATTTATATTCTCGAGGTTTGTAAATTTATAAAACAACATCCTGACTTACACACCAATCTTGACAACCTGCCCCAAGGACATACTCAGCTACAAATACACAGTTCTGAGGGCCTATTATAAGCTTTTAGAGCAATCCTATTTAAGCCTGTAAGTTGGATTGCTTGTCAAATTCGTACTATGACCTCACAAAAACAACAAAACTGTCCATGCAGTGTACGTTCCCTATTTGAAATCCGTTCACCTTTTCTTTCATAGCAAAATCGTATCATGACGTGCCATTTGCCATGCAAAGCTGTAAAAATAAGCAATTCCAAAAGTTACCCGCGACTAACTTTTTTTTTAGATTTTGTTACATTTTTAAGAAATTTCGTTTAAGTTTTATTATATTTTCAGTTTCACAATTTAAAAATTTTAGTTTGAGGGTCGTATTCCAGAACTCTACTCAATGCTGAAGTCAGGATCTGAGTATGGTTTAAAGCACTCGAAATCATACTCAAGTCCCTGCCATTAGGGTCGTATGTCAAGTGCTTGAAATCATACTCAGATCCTGACTTGAGTATGATTCAAAGCACTAGAAATCATACTCAAATCCCTGCCATTAGGGTTGTATTTCCAATGCTTGAAATCATACTCAAGTCTGCTCAAATCCTGACTTGAGCATTGAGTAGAGTTCTAGAATACGACTCTAAGGGTCGTATTCCAGAACTCTACTCAATACTCAAGTCAGGACATGAGTATTGCAGTGAGCACTGAAAATCATACTCAAGTCCTTGCCATTAGGGTCGTATTTCCAGTGCTTCAAATCATACTCAAGTCTCCTCAAATCCTGACTTGAGCATCGAGTAGAGTTCTGGAATACGACCTTCAGTTTCCTATCTTTAAAGTATTGTTGATAAATTATTGACATGAATGTTATTGAAATTTTTGATAGGAATTTTAATAATTTTATTGACCGAAAATCGTACAATAACTTTTAAATAGTGCCAAATTTGACTATAATTGCAATTAATGAAAATATACGAATACAAGATACGTTCCAATTATGTTATCAAATTACAAACTCACCTTATTATTTCAATGATAATGACTAAATATGACATGTAATTGTGTCGTACGACAAATTGTAAAGTATGATTGAAAAGTTGCCGATATTACAAAACAACGTAATAAGTATAATTAATAATGAAATAAATAAAAAAATATAATTATTCTCATTTTGAACACAATCGGATAATAGTGCTTGAATGCTCCCAGGATAGTATATCTGTCTATTTCTTTCATATGATTTAGTATGTAGTTACATCTCGCTCTTGTTAGATGTCAGCTAGCCAGCCAGAGACAATAATTAACGTTTAAATAGTAAAATTCATCATCCTGCCATGCCATTCCCATTCAACTTTGTGGTCATGATACGAATTTAAGCAATTCAGTTTTACCACATATAAGCTAAGTTTAGGCCCCCTGGTCCCCATTCGATGTCGGTAAAGATATTCAACAAAATTTTTAACTACTAGATTGAAGAATTGTTTGCACTATACCGTTGATACGTGCGCCACCGAGACGGCACAGCCACTGTGAACGCAAAGAGCGTCTACATACATTTAATTTTCACGCACTCGCGCCTGCCGCCACTCTCAATAAGGTCAAAACGTATTTGCATGACGCGGCTCCCGCCGCCTGACTCGCCTCTAGTAGGGGCACTCAAGGGGAGTTGCTAATAGCTATTGCTCTGTGCATGTACATTCGTTGCGCACCTTGAACGTGACTTTTTTTATTTTATTACCTGAGGGAAATCTGCTTACAAACACCCCGGCCCTGCGGGGGCAGAGCCCAGGTTATGTGGGACTGGTCTGAACCCTGAAGGGGAGCAGCCCGACCGCACCAAATCCCCGGGGTGTTCCTCCTCTCCGCTGCAGGTCGAACCACGGGTACGCTATCGCTCGTTCGCGCCTTCATCAGCGGCTGGCCGCACCCAACGCAGCCCCTCCACGAAAAGGGAGACACAACGGTCACCAGCCTCCAAATAAACACCAGACGAGCCTTCCATCTCGGGCCCCTCCATGCTAGGCAACGAACTCCCCCGAGTCCGCTACCCGGGGCCAGTACAACATCCCCTCAACTGTGAAGCTCTGAGGATACTTCCCCAGCCCGCGGGGGATCCTTACGTGCATCCGCGTGGACTTTCCGAAGAGAGTGTTTGGAACGCCCACCGCACGTGCAAATCGCCGAATTCAGCCACGGAGGTCAGGACCAGCGGCAACGATACACCCACACTTCTCTTCTCCCGCGGACCCACCGCCACTGCATCTTCACCCCTAGGCGGCGCAGCCCCGCCAGGGTCTCGGAGGACAGAACGAGCGGCAACGACACACCGACACGTCTCTTCCCCGCGACCCTTCTCCCGGCATTCGTCCGCGCGGACCCGCTCGCCCTGGACCAAGACAAGCCCGCCCAGTACGCCCTCTTCTCGGGCCAGCCTAGCTCCATCAGCCGGCCCGATCCTCTTAGCTTCACCGTGGCATGAAATCGACCAATAGAGCCGTGCGCGAACGCTATAATTTGAACCTTTCCAAGGTGACAGTGAACAGGTATAATTTGGGTGTACATGCTACACCGTCGACCTCATCATCACTTTCCATCACGTGAGACGGAGGTCAAATGCGCACTTTTTTTTTAACTGTATGGTTTGTAAAACTATACGAAGTACAAATGACCAGCTTGCATGACCCGTAAGGCAGGGTGCGGGGACGAGTTTGACACGACCGCAACGCGAATGCGATCCGAATCGCAGGCGAGCAAGCTAATACTTATTTCATTATATAATATTACAAAGCTGTTTTGAGAGTTTTAAAACTATTTACATATTCGAAATATTCGAATTATCCGATTAGTGATGACTGCAAAATCCGAATACCAAATTTAACGGATATTCGAATAAAACTAATATTCGGAGATCCGAATTGCAAGCCCTATGCCCAACGTAATATTCGAACAGTTTGATATTGTAAAAAGTATTTAACAGATAAATTCACCACACCGCCTCTGGCAGAAGCGTTTTGCAGCTTTACTGCGATCACAACCCGCCTGTCAACTCTAGCGGTTAAACCAAGTTCTCCATCTTTAGGAATGCCCTAAGACTGAAGAGTTTAATAACTACTGGAAGCTAACCAGTTAATTGTCAATCTTGAAATGGTGGCATTGATATTAAGTTTTGAAATCAATGTTACAACTGAAAAAAAGAATTAATTAATATTCTCCAACATGACAAAGGTTACCAAGTTGACTTACCTAACTTGCCTTTATAAGAAATATGATTTCTCTTGCAGTTTCTCCCCTCGATGCGCGGTATATTAAAAGGCATATCTATCTGCATGGCGGGATTCTCGGAAGCCTACTACAGTCACGGTAACCTCATTAGCTCTGTGTGGACCGGTGGACAGTACCTTATTGACCCGGAAATGAGAGCACGGAGGATTGTCAATATATCACAGTCTGCTAGTGTTGAATTTTGTAAAGCGTTCTGGTTTTTGGCTGAGAGTGGTAAGTTTCTCCACCTTTACTCTTCTGTGGCAAAATACAGGGCTTTTGCATACTAATGAGGCGCTTGTAATCAAACGCGTACGCGTGTATTCAGTCGCTTAATCTCTAAATATTATAAGTTTAGTTTTAGGAAAAATGTCGTTAACACCAAAAAAAACGAAGATCAGAGCACCAACCTCATAGGGAATTTCGTAAGGTCCTGCATATTCGTTCAATAGCTCAGTTGGGAGAGCGTAACCGTATGACGTGGTTGCTGGTTCGAGTTCAGCCGGGTCGAAGGATTTTTTGTGTTTATTCGATATTTATATCAACAATAACAACAAACTAGTGGAGTATTTTCACAAAAAATATATGAATGTCATGGCAGTAAAAACATGGTATTCAATAAAATAAATATAATAAGTTTATTAAACTGTTTTGGTTTTGTTAAAGATGAAATTCCCATACTCGTTCCAGTTTATTTTTTTTTATACCGAGTAACGGGAAGAACAAGACGTGTGCCTGGTGGTAAGCGACACGCCTGTCTATAACAGTTACAGTGCCACTCAGAGCGTTAAATCACAAAGAGCTGAGGGGCACTGCCACTGCACCCGTAACCCTGAGACATAAGTTGACAAGTCACCCTCACCCTTCAAAACTGGAACACAGTAATGCTTACATTACCATTTGACGGCAGTAATAAATAAGGTGGCAGTCCTTCTTTGGACGAACTCTTTCACAAGGAGCTGTACTGCTACTAATAATACAATTTGAATACATTATAACCATTATGATTTCCACCCTGTACACAAAAATAACAGAATTCGAAAATAGGAGAACAATATTACTCACATTTTCGGTTTACGATATTTCAACTAGAGATGCAACGAATATTCGGCAACTATTCGGTATTCGGCCTATTCGGCCAGTTTTTTCAGTATTCGGTATTCGGCCGAATAGTAAGTAGTATTCGGCCGAATACCGAATACTTAAAAAGTAGCAAATATCTTATAAAAGGGAATAAAAAAAAAACAATTTAATCGAAACATTTAATTATCCAACAATCATTAATTGCGAAAACAAGAATACAACATCAGTATTTTTAATATTTAAAATTAATTAAAGGCAAATTGTGGTGAATAAAGACAAGTTTTTCGGCATTTGTTGGTAAGAGACGATTGCGCTTTTCTTCATATACAATACCTGCTTCTGAGAATAGTCTCTCACTGTAAACACTAACACGTACCGCATCAAAACGTGTCCTAACTTGTTAGCGTCGACGTCAATTATACTGGATCACCCGCCGAATATTCGGCGGCCGAATATTCGGTATTCGGCTGAAAGCGCCGCCGAATATTCGGTATTCGGCCAAATCACTATTCGTTGCATCTCTAATTTCAACTCCTACTGAAAACTCGATATATTTATTATAATGTTATTAAGACAATCTCTTTACATTCCAGAAATAATGAAAAGGGTACCTAGTCTAATGTCATCAACGGTGGCTGTAAATAAGATTATCACATTACCGCCCGAGCCTATAACAGTGCAGATGAGCGACGGCAAGGAAACGACAGTGCTGCCACCTACAGTTCATATAGGTTTACAAGGATTGAATCTGCGACTGATTAGTGTGAATAAGAGAGCTGGCATGGTTAGTCCTTCTTTATTATAATTCTCAATGAACGCGGTAAGATAATTCGTACATTGTTACACACAATAACAACAATTAAAATTACAATTCGCTAAACTTGTGACCTTATTGCTTAAAGCAATTTATTTCAGGCAACCTTATTTTAGCGAAAGAATAAACAGTACAAAGAAAAATAAATAAGTACTTACACGTACTACACAGAAATATAAAGTGCAAATATAGCTGTTTGGACGTCATGGATATTTTTGTTGTTTTTTATTATTACTTAATAAAAATATAATAATATAACGCACACACTCAACATAACCCCGCACTAGGGAAACCCTGTGTCGCGGGTGCCATGGACACGCACATAGACAACCACAAATTACACCCAAACTCACGAGAGAAATAAATGTAGGCCATACAAATATTTCTCCAGGTCCGGGAATCGAACCTGGGACCTCTGCGTGGCAGTACGTCATGATAACCGTTCGGCCACGGAGACAGTTAATAAAAAGAAGGGTGTAAATTCGTTTAGATTAAAATTACTGTTACTTTAAATGTGATAAGTACGATACTTGATGGTAATATTTGAAAGTACCAATATATAAAGACAAAGCACGTAAATATGCTGTGTAATGCGTAAAAAAAAACATATTAAAATTTAATACACATTACACATATATTATAAACATTGTCACAAATACTTGACTTATTGCATTGCACTATTTAACATGAAACTATTCGAAAAATTTTACTTATAAATATTGCATTAATATATTATTTATTCAAATATTTGATTTACACTTCGATTTGGTTTTTTACAGTCAGTGTTTGAAAGTCAGAGCGACAACTTCCAAACAAAACATTACAGTACAACTACTTTCTTAATATCTCTCGGCAAACTTCGTGTTTTGGCTTTCGTCGGATTTTTATCAGTCGCCCTTAGCACTTAGTCTGGTATTGGTGGTCATGCAGAGTACCAGTCGTACTCTGGTCTGGTGGCCACGTAAAGATCCCTGGCCCGAGAGAAGTATGGCCTACATTTATTTCTCTCGTGAGTTAGTAGTTTTTTATTGTCTATGAGTTGTGTCCACGACGACCGCGATACAGGGTTTTCCTACACAGGGTGTAAATTTGAGACGGGGCAGCAAGGCCAGCTACCTTAATCGTTGTAGTTACAAGAAAACGGTTCGAGAAGATAATCCATGAATTTCGAAGATATTTTGATTGGCATTCACAGATTTTCAAAAAATGGTACAGTCAGCAAGATAAAAGGCAATTTGTACAAAACTTTTTTTATGCCATTCGATCCGGTCTCTGGTAAGGATCAATAGTCTCTATGGGACCAACTGAGGTAAGAGTACTCGAAATGTCAGAAATCGCAAAAAACTTTTTACCATACATTTTGTAGGGACATATCTAGTCATCAGTTATTCTAGGTAGTTAAGAAAACTTATTAACTTAACTTATTAATAACAAATTAGTCTACAAATAAGAATTAAGTAAAAACAAATTGATTCCATAGAGACTATTGACCTTACCAGAGACTGGATCTAATGGCATAAAAAAAGTATTGTATAAATTGCCTTTTATCTTGCTGACTGTACCATTTTTTGAAAATCTGTGAATGCCAATCAAAATGTCTTCAAAATTCATGGATAGTCTTCTAGAACCGTTTTCCTGTAACTACAACGATTAAGGTAGCTGGCCTTGCTGCCCCGTCTCAAATTTACACCCTGTATAATGTGGGGCTATGAAAAACCAAAATCGAGTTGGAAGTACACACAGTAGCTACACTTTATTTTACTTCTATATTTGTTAACTTGCTTGGTATATTGTTAAAAGGTAAATGTTATTATAAAAATGAAAATAGATTTACAACAATAAAGTATATATTTCTGAAATCAAATTATAGTAGATGATGACTCTACTAGATTACCACGGGCCTACCACTTAACTGAGTCGGTTCCAGAGGTAGCTGCGCAGTGCGGGAGGAGTGACAGTTTACGTAACAGTTATGTCGCGCTGCACATGAGATAATTTCAACAAGATTTTCCTGACGATATTCAATAGCAAGTTGATTGAAAAAAGTACCAAGTAGCTTGTCTATTCATTTCAAATTATGCAGAAATAATCCAGTGCACACATTGACTTACAAATAAATGGACGACGGATCTAATACAAAAACCACGAAATAAATGTCCCAAGTCAACCTATTCGAAATTTAAATTGTTATGTCATCGCAGTATCGCGCTGTCCGTAGAACAAATGAAGACTAAAGCGGAGTGTCGCGCTCTGTATACGATTTTAGCGCCTTACAAGTGCGGACACTTTTTAGCGCGGACCCGACGTCCATATAATTGTAAGTCAATGAGTGCACATATTATTTTCATAGTTCAATATACCAAAATATGCGTATTATGGTACCAAAAATATACAAAAAACATCGACGGACTCCCGCGTAAACTTTTGTTGACATAATTTGTATGCGTCGTGTTTATGAAAAATATGTGAAAATCTGTTTTTGACGGTTAGATGTCGCTCACCGTTAAGAAACTAAGAAAGTGACAGTTGTAGATATCAGTCCGGTTACATACTAAATTGACTTTCATTTCAATCTGTTTTATTTCCATACGTAAACAGACCTTTAGAATAATTAGAAAAATCGAATGAATTTATTTTATTCAAACTACTAATTATGACGTTTGAAGACGCTAAAGAATTCTTTTAACAATAATTTCGCCATTGTTCTTTGTGGTGATGGATTGTTATTGAAATATGCCAGTGTAACTACGTCCTTATTCATAATTCGCTATCAATTCCAGGCGGGAGAAGGTTCGTCTTCCCTTCCACCATCAGAAGGCATAGTATTCCACTGTCACGGAGGTGGTTTCGTGGCCCAAAGTTCAAAATCTCACGAAACGTATCTACGCGAATGGGCAGCAAAACTGAATGTACCTATACTATCAGTGGATTACAGTCTTGCACCGCAAGCGCCGTTCCCTAGGGCACTAGAGGAAGTTTTCTATGCTTATTGCTGGATGATTAGTAATTTTAAGGAAATTGGTACTACTGGTAAGAAACTTTAAAGTTAAAATTGTACTTGACTGGTTAATGTGAACAATTTCATACTAATTGACATTACGTAGGATTAATATCAGTTGAATGCGTACTTATTATTGAGTGTGTCAGTTATTAATATTACTTAAAACTTTTGAATTTGAATTTAAACATATTTATGCAATTGGTAGTTTTTTCAAAAATCGTTAACATCTCAGAACGCCAACATTGGCAAATCTATAATTTTCTTTACTTCATGAAAGCATATAAAGTCTGTTCCAATCCATTATGCCAGAAAAGTAAACAAACCGGTTTGGTCAAAATTCTAAAGTAATCACTCAATAAATGGAATAAGTCACACTTCCACGTATGTTTTGAAGATTACAACTTGATATCTCGTCACTTTTTCCAGCAATATTCGTTTGAATACCATATTAAAATCTTATTTGAAAAATGTTAGTTCAAAAGTGAGGTTAGTTTTCAAATATGGATTTGTGAATAGTCTATGCTTGCATAGCCCTATTCACGGAAACACCGCATTCGTCGAAAATTTAATCACAATCGAACGAATATCTAAGGGTAAGATTTGAAGGAGGATTTAAAATTAGATTTCGGTAACTTTAAATTTGCTTTTATAAGTTATTTTAGAAAAAATTATAATGTCATGTATGAAATATCATCACTCAGTATGAATCACATATTCGTTATAGTAATCAACAGCGAAATCGCAAAACCCATTTTTATATAAAACCCAATTATGCCAAGTAATTCAATTAAACAAATCAATTCATTCAATTAATTAATCGAGTTGTATTTGGCGAGCACAGACAGTTTAGCGATGGCCAACTGGGCCATCGGTAAATTGTCTGTGCTCGGGTCAATAATCTGTTTATTTACTTTTTTGGTACAATGGATTGGAACAGACTATACCACATAGTTAAAATGTCTACGGCCTTTAACCCCTCTTCGTCTAATTTCATACCACAGCAACAACAACTACAGCATAAACGTCTTTCGAGAGATTTTATATAAACATATTCCTAATTCCATAATCTATAGATATCGATTGGTACAATCCGATATTAACAAACATCTATCGATACTTGTTTTAGGTAAAAGAATAGTGTTTGCCGGGGATTCAGCAGGTGCGAACCTCATAGCAGGATGCACACTGAAAATCTTGTCCACTGGTCTACGGGTACCTGAAGGATTATTTATGGCATATGCTCCTTTATTGGTCAGCTTTATTCCGAGTCCAGCAAGACTACTGTGTCTGATGGACCCACTGTTGCCGTTTGGATTCATGATGCGTTGCTTGAAAGGTCAGTGATCTCTGGTTGGACACACTTTTTTTTACATAGGAAGAGTTTTGTATTAATTTTTAGACTCTCCAACTCTTTGCTTCTGTTTATTTTGATTTTGAAATATAGGTTTTGGACACACTACTCTACTATACCCGAGCGACCATAGTGCGGTGATTTTTAACCGACTTAAAAAAAGGCTAAAATATTTATAAATATTTATAAAGGCTAAATTATTTGTTTTTCAAAGGAACCTTTGTGCATTTCTTGTGTCAATCTATCTTGTATATATTTTACATTACAGCTTATGCAAGTTCAAATGCCAGACCAAAAAGTGGAGAGCAAAAAATGTCAAGTAAAGACAAAGAAATCGCAATGGGACCCAAAGAAATTATGATGGCTTCCAACCCCACTACGCCCCCAGAAAGTAACGGTTTTCTTAAAGTCAGTACTTCACAAGGTATGTATTTCAGGAGTGGCAATCACTTAACGAATTTGCGTCCAACACAGGAACAATAATCTAAAATTTTTCACAGAGGGCATTAGCGAAGGCCCCTCATCGTTCGAAGAAGTTTCTCCATCAGATCTGGCGGAGCTGCAGGCACACAAGTCCGGTAGCGAACGTCGGCAGTCGTCGGACACTACTATTAGTGCTGCCTCATTGCAGAGCGAGCATAATGCTTCAGGTGATTGTTATTATTCTTATTAGGGTGCCGTCATTCGATAGGTTTACACGACCCCTTTTCACTGCAACGAATAACTGATCTATTGTGATCACCACTAATTACAGTTCGGAGCCAAGGCTAACAGCATTAAAGAACTAAAGGACTTTCCTGGCTCCAACAGTTTTTATGTCCTCTGGGTGTGGCCTGTACCTACCCAATATGAAACTTCGTACGTCCATTAGACAGCAACACTGGGCAAGGAGACGCACAGGAGTTTCATCCGTCTCGTGCACAATCTACATTCTCTGTTTTACTCTGCCCAGTACTTGACATGTGCTTGTTCATGCCATTCCCGTCCAGTGACAGAGCTTCCCTACAGTAGCATTGACTCAGGGCTTTTGAATGCTCAAGACCGTTTGGTCGGCAGCCACATGTCTCGGGAGACGTGTGTGTTCTTGTTCAACAGAGTGAGCTTTAGCAGGCCATGTGCTATTCCTATAAAGGCATCAGGACCTATGAAAGCCTCTCTAGCACCAGCTTTGCCACTTCTTCCGCTGGCTCATTACCTTCGATGTCAGAGTGACCTGGAACCCCACGCAGAACCACATTATTCTTTTCCCCGAGAGTATTCAGTATGTTACACAGTTCTCTACAATTTTCGAAGTTTGGGTGACTGAGGCATGTAGGCCGGCTTGTCAATGCTTCAAGTCTTTACTTGAAGCATTGACAAATCTCTTTAGATATACGTATATCATTATAACGATTTAATTCACAAATGTATTCGGTATTTACGTGTACACAATAGTATGACAAAATGGTCATGGAATAAAGTACAGCCGATACCCTAAGGTACCTGACCCCCTAACAATTATTTGATTCTTAGTAGATCAGTGTATAGAAAGGTGTTAATAAACTTGACCTTTAACTTGTGATCCCTAAAATTCATTTTGATGTAACTTCCTTTTTACATCATTAGTGAACGACGTTTTAAGAAACTGTAAGCCAATTTTTTTTTATAAAAATAATTTATTTCGTCTCAAATAGTAACAAAATTGCATACAAGGTTGAGACCTTCTTTTAAGTATGAAAATACTTGTATCAGGAGCTCTCGCTCCTCTATAAGTAGTGACTAAATTTGATCTTTAATTACATTAGATAAATACATATCTCAACCTAAAACTGGAATTCCTTTATACTTTACAATCGACGAGTACCTTACGCCAATTAGCAAGTCCTTTCACCACAATTGCAAGCATTATAGTGTATGCCATCGATGCGATAAGAAGAAAGTCATGATATTGAGTGAATAAAATATTGCAACAAACAAATTTTCAGGTATAACACCACAAGATGACAAATCGCAACAATTCGTGTCAGATTTCCTCGAACGATACGTCCTCGACTCCGATACAGATTCAGAGGGCAGGCGAATACCAGTAATTAAGCCTAATGTGATAATGGCAGTTGCCAATAATGCACAAAACGAATCCAACAGCCATAAGTAAGTATCTATTACATATGTGCAAATTGATATAAAATTTACAACTTTCCCATTGGGTCTCAACTTTTTTAGAACTTAACAGTGATTATTTATTTTTATTTTTTTTTATTATAGAGAAGCGTCAGAAGGTTCATGTACTTGTACATTAGTTGGGGAACCACCGTTAGTTGTCGATGACGACGATTGTAAAGAAAAGAAGAAGATAAAAACAAGGTAACTGACATATTATTTTTCACATATGATAATATCAAAGTACAAAAATAGCAAATCAATACAAATACTCTTTATTGCACACAAGAATAAATATGTGCATAACAAAAAACAAAAGATAGGTACAACATGTGGTCTTATTTCTAGCTATCAGTCTCTTCCAGGCAACCTCCGGGTTACAGGATAGATTTAAACGTAATAATTAATTGAGGGCGCAACAAATGCTAATTATTATTGCACTTATACTGAAGTGAATTAAAAAAAATGAAAAAAAAATATGCATGTACTTACATAAATTTTAAGAACAGAAGAAAAAAAGAGTTGTAGAAGTATTAAAAAACACGTAAAATTAAAAATAGGAGACAATATTAATTAGAGTATAAGGTAATGCTTTGATTACAGTTTTAATTCAACTCAATCATTTTTTCAGTAATCAAAAAAGTTCAAGGTCAAACTCCAATTCAACAGACAGCGCGTCTGATCGACTTAGGCAGGGAGTTCCATAGTTTCATGCTTCTAACCGTAAAGGAATTAGAATACAAGTTAGAATAGTGTATAGCGTAGTTTAAAGAAAGACAATACATACATACATAACGTACAATACAAATGCAATTGAGTTTTTTTAAACTTTTTTATTTTAGTATTTGTAAAAATAACACACAATATCTTAAAGCAGCCGTTAAATATATTAGTATTGATTTTTTTACTTCAATCGTACCACTAACAAAGAAAATTAGTTGTTTAAAATTTCTTCAACATAGCAGGAAGCCACATCTTAAATTAGAGAAGGATTATTTGTAATCACGTTCGAATACGGCGAAATAAGGACACCGTCTTTAAGATCGTCGGAGATCAAAACTTGCTCGCCCATGTAATATTATTTAAAAAACAACAAGTTGCACCTGGTTATACAACATACTTTCGATGCGTTTATATGCCTAATGTTTGGCCGGGCACAGTGAAACTATACATTGTTACATTTATACAACATCAAAGTCCCCCCTGAATAAAGCCGGATTTACATTTGTCAGACGTGTCGTGTCGTGACGCGTCAGAACGGTATCGATATGATGGTTCTTACACACAGCTCAAACCGTTACGTCAGATTGCGACACACTAATATAAACCTAAGGCTTCGTTTCCACTATTCGGAGTAATGTTAACAAACTTGCTTCAGTCTCCGGTATCCCTGTCCCCCACTCGCTCCACCTTTTTTTTTTTTTGCTCCTCGCGTGTCAGTTTAGTCTCCGTTTTTCTTGCGAGATCGCGGCATAAGGAGAACACCTAGTCCGTGCCGGTTTTCCGGCAAATTCGCCGATCCGGCAAAGTGGGAACGAGGTGTAACCCTATTAAATGTATGAAACCGTTACCGTTCAGATGTGTCACAATACGACACGTCAGACAAATGTAAATCCGGCTTAAACGTACAAAAGTTTTAACACATTTGTTAATCAGTGTTTAACGTTCCATCGCCATTCTCACATTTGATGTTCTCAGCCTAATTACCGTAGCCATTGTTTTTTCTCGCTGAACATACCCAATAACATTGAAAAATGAACAACTTAAAGCTTAACTATCAATATGTCTAAATGGCATTAGAGTAGACAAAGTAGTTTTCGAGTTATTAAGACATTAATTTTTCACAGAAACGGTAATTAGATCGAATTACCGTAGCCGTGGTATATACGGTAATTAGAAAGTTCAAATATTTTTAAGAAGAAAAATATTATTCTATTTTAATCTAACTCGCAATAGACGTCCGACTGTGTATGGAGTTTCGGACGCGAGTGAAGGTCCATTGTCTATGCTAGTTTATTGTCTAGAGTTAGTATTTTTGTTGTATTACAAAATTAAGTAATTGTATGTAAATTCGGTTTATTTCAGATTAAGTGAAGCTGCAACTGGTATTATGGGTGCGATGTCATCAAGGTTCGCTTATATCACAGGATCAAATTCCATCAGACCCACACAAGAAGAGTAAGTTATCGTTTTTTTTTTAAATATGTAGGATGTTCCACAACTGAGACGCGGAGGTAAAGGACTTTAAATAATGTGAAAAGAATATTTTGATTCATGGATACATTATTTTATTTTTAAAAGTGAGCAATACTCATTGAACGACTTTTAAAAATAGTTTGCCTTGTCGAAGCAACCAAATGTGGAAAAAAACAGCATATATTTTGAGGTACTGAACTAAAGGGTCAATATAACAGTTTGGGGTAGTAAATGTTGTTTTGCACTGTTAAGAATAACCAACACGCGAACTCACTCAAAAGGTTTATTTTTTATTTGTTTAGTAATTTAATGTTTTGTAGCCCACAACAGGATTAATTCCTGCTAAGTAACGTAATATCTTAAATTAAAGGAACACCATGAAACTTTACTATTAAATTTAGGAAAACGTGTTAGTAGACCATTCCTAAACCAGTGAGAATGAAAGTTGAGTTGAATTAAAATTGTGAATGAAATTTCGATCTGTGATCCGAGATAACTCAAGTCAAAGGTCACCTTATCATGTTAAGTTAAAAATGTATGTAAGGGAAATATATTCAATTGTTCATTTATTCATTTTTGCGTGCACAAAAACAAACTGTCGTACTGCTGGTCATAAGCAGCACAAAAACATGCAAAAGTATAAAAAACAGAATGCTAATCGCTTAGTTACCGACACCCTCGTTATAACCAATCCAACTTTTTTGGCACGTCCTTTCATCATAAGCCTAAGGGTCGTATTCCAGAACTCTACTCAATGCTCAAGTCAGGACTTGAGTGTGATTTCAAGTACTGGAAAGACGACCCTAATGGCAAGGACTTGAGTTTGATTTCTAGTGCTTTAAACCATACTCAAGTCCTGACTTGATTAGACCTGCATTGAGTAGAGTTCTGGAATACAACCCTAGGAGTGGTTACACACGGTGACATTTAGCAATGATGCAATCGCACATTTGTATCGATGCGGTCGCGCGCTTGTATCGCTGCTTAAAATCGCGCGCGTGTGTAAAGGTAGACGATTAGCGACTGTATCGTTAGTGCATCCCTGCTGAAAGTAGCCGTGTGTGACCGCTCTAACGTCTAATTAGAAAGATACCTTCAAAGAGAAATGTCGAATTTTTAATTTGTCTATGTTTAAGTTTCTGAAGTTCAGTAATTAATAGATTCAGGCGTTACAGTCAAGGCTGAATCGTGCAAAATGGCCGGTCGTCGAACAATCAACTACTCCTGAGGATGCCTCTTAAACATATGTAGACTACATTTTTGGTGGTGGTGTTTGTGACTGACGTTGCGCTTGTGTTATTTATTTAACAAATTTTATGCGGAGGAAGGGTGGGGAAATGAACTGCATGAAAAAATAATAAAACAAGCCCTGCCATTTTGTTTGAGCCCAGTGAACGCTATTTCGTACATAGCCTTCTGGTTCGCAGAGTAGCAATTTCATTTACATTTCACACTGAACGTCAAGCAGATTTTCAAGGACAGCAGTCTATATGTATATAAAACAGGCTAATCTTAGTATGCCTAATTGACATAAGTAACATTTACAGGCTAGCAGTAAGAACAAACCTGGACGCTTTGATAGCGCGGAGTCCATCAGACGAATTCATATTCTCTGTACCACGCGACCCATTCCTGTCTCCGTACTGGGCTGATGAGACCCTGTTGAGCAAGTTTCCGCCCGTTAGAATATTGGTAAGAGTATTAAGTACTTACTAAAACCATTTAAAACTAATATTGTATGTATGAAACAAATAGCTTAAAAATAAAAAGGGAACAAGCTTTAAATTCACAGAATAAATAGTTATAACTTTTTGTATAAAAAAAGACCTTAAAAGTTTGAGGAATTACATCTATTTGCCAAGTTTTATTGCAATCGGTTAACGGAAAATTGGTGAAATCCAATAAATCGAATTCATGCCCCAGTTTGCCACCCTTAGAGGTGGAATATTTTCTTCAAATTTGAATGAAACCACAACTGAGATACCCCCTTTCCAACATAAAAATAATCATATAAATCGGCTCACGATTTTGAAGTCGGTTAAAAAACGTATTTTTTTTAAATTCGTGTGAAAAGACGCTAGCTTAGCAAAAATGCAAAGAGAATTTCACTATTCAATGGCAGTTTTCCGTTTCTTCTAAATTTATTTAATATCGGAAACAGTTGAAATTGATTGACTTCTTAAATTAGACTGTACCTACTTCTCCATAGCATTTCCTTAAAAACAAACGAAATCTAATTGTAATTATTAACTTACTCGAAAATTTAAAATTGTAAGAATGTACTGCAGCGCCTGTCGTAAAGCAATAAGCAAACTTCTTTATATCTAGAATCTTAACAACTGAGTTATCTTTATTGATAATTATTACATCAAAGAATTTATAAAAATGTCCTTGACCTGAATAATACTTTGTTAATACTACCTACAATACTTGAGTATTCCGATTGATAATGTTAATGTTGATTATTTATTTCTCGAACGATAAAACCTGAATATATTTAGAGTTCAAAGACAACTTCAAATGGCTTTAATAGATACCGCACACCGAGTATATAACCAGAAAGAGAGACGAAATAAGGGCCATCCATCACTGGGAACTCATCGGGCACATGGGCCTTATATAACTTTTAAATATCAACTTTCGTTTGCACAGAAATCACAAATTAGAAAACAAAAATAATACTGCGCTAACAACTGACTTGCGTGTACGTCTCCGTATATTCCAAAAATATTCCATATTTATTGTAATAAAGATAATATCTCTAACAATGGAGGCTGTTCCATTCGATGGTGTAGGAAAAACAGCAAAACATCTAATTACAAAACAAAGGGAATCACATTTCATCGGTAATTAAATATTAAATATGTAATTTAACAATTTACGCCCATTACAGCAAAGCTCAAGTTACACTGGTCCATTCAATTACTTTGGAAAAAATATATAGTACAATTAAGGTATACTCTGATTACTATACGGTGTAAAAACACGATTAGTAAAAATGTTCACTATAGAAATAAAATACAAACTTGCCTCGAAATTTTACAAGAAAACCGCTGTATTCAATAGGTACTTTGATTGACACCAATCATTGACTTACAATTATATGGACGTCGGGTCCGCGCTAAAAAGTGTCTGCACTTGTAAGGCGCTAAAATCGTATACAGAGCGCCAAACTCCGCTTTAGTCTTCATTTGTTCGACTGACAACGCGATACTGCGATAACATTACAGTTTAAATTTCGAATAGGTTGACTTGGGACATTTTTTTCGTGGTTTTTGTATTAGACCCGTCGTCCATTTATTTGTAAGTCAATGACACCAATGATTTTTTTTTATATCAACTGAACTAAATAGAAAACGTATACTATACGATAAACATTTTTCAAATGGCTTTAATTTCGTTTGTAAAAAAAATAAATTCTGAAATAAAGCCAGTGTCCCTGCCGCTCGGCCTAAGCAAATTGAACCTTATTAGTACGGGAAAACTTTGATTTCGAGTTGAGGTAGTATCGATTCTTAAGGCAGAGCGAGCAGGTTTCTAGGCGAAATTCTATCTACAATTTCTGGTAAGATTGTAGACAATCGTGAGCCGATAACAAATAAAATAAAATGTGTAGGTATTTAAAATGTATGTTTTAAAAAAACGTTTTATAAACAGACAGTACACCTTGACCCGTGTCTGGACGACTGCGTAATGTTCGCCAAAAAACTGAAGAAGCTTGGTAATATTGTCGGGATTGATGTGCTCGAAGGTCTCCCGCATGGTTTCCTCAATTTTTCCCTGGTAAGTTTTGTTGTAACAATTTATTTTCAGAGACACCCGTGGTGGCCTAATGATTTGACCCAATGCTTCTCAAGCCGATGGTCGTGGGTACGAATCCGTGCTCCGAGTTTTTATTTAAATTTATGTGCGAAATTTAATTTGCAATTTACCAAGTGACCTTTTCGGCGAAGGAAAACATCGTGAGGAAAACTGCACATATCTGCAAAGCAATTTAACTATGTGTGTGAAGTTCCGACTCCGGACCGGCGTGGGAACTATAGGTCAAGTCCTCTCACAGTGAGAGGAGGCCTGTGCCCGTGTGTGACTATATATAGACTATTATTCTTTAATTTAATCAAATCTTTAAAATGTGTAATTAACCAAAGCATAAATGAACAATAATGCTCAGGGGGTCTACTCTCGTTCTAAGTCCGACATCCTTTCGAAACAATTACCGTCAAATAAGTAATACAAAGGTCTAACTATAAGTTTCCGGAACTGGTCACCTACAAAACAATATTTAAAAAGTAATTACAACATTTGAAAATGGAACTCTGTATGTAATGGAAATGGCTGTAGAATACAGTTTGTTTCATCTAACTGTCACTTGTTTTTACATTGTGGCGTCATTTTAGAAATTGGTTGTCTACATCACCATGGATTTAACTCGTGAAAATTTTCGTAGTATGATTTTCTACAACTTTAAGTGTAATATAACAGCTCAGCGGAGCTTCTTTCGGCTTCAAACTGCTTTTGGTGATGAAGCACTATTCAAGACGACTATTTATAGCTGGTTTGCAGAATTCAAGCGCGGTCGTGTGATTCTTAGTGACGAATTTCGTGATAGTCGCCCGTCCACTGCTGTGAACAACAAAAACATCGATGCTGTGCGCCGTATGTTCAAAACAGACAGGCATGTGACACATACCATTAGATTCGGGCATCTTTAGGCATAGGCATGAGTCAAATACAATCAATACTACACAAACATTTGGGTGTGAAAAAGCTGTGCTCTCGGTGGATCCCACACAATTTGACTGAACTCAAAAAACGGATCGCGTCTCTTGGTGCAATGCCGTGCTTACCAGATTCAACGAAGGACCGTAAATTTTGGTGTGGGACATACATTGATTGACCTACCAATAACTGGACGTCGGATTCGCGCTAAAAAGTGTCCGCACCTAAGGGCGTTAAAATCTTGTACAGAGCGTCAATCGCGCAACAGTCTTCGTTTGTTCGACTGACAGCGCGGTTGTCAATTATGCAGTACCAATAATAATAACTTCTAAAATTACTGCAAAAGTGTAAATACAGGATTTTGTATCATATTTTCACCAAATAAATATATTGTGTTATCACAGATCACATTTAAAAGTGTTATTTTGTACGGTTTTGTAGTATTTAATTTATATATAAATGAATCGTAAATATAAATTACAAAAGCACACAAAATAATCAAATAGCTAACTGTCCTTTTTCGACACATTGCATGCGCAAAAGTTGGAAAGACACCTATTACGTCAATTTCAAGAAGCTTAAAACTTCTTGGTCATTTTTAATTGTTCGAACCACAAGCGATTGAAATATTTAGAACAAAGAAACTATAGAGTCGCTTTGATTTTAATTTTATTTTTAAAATGATTTTTTATTAAACGTTAGCAATAACTAACAAAATAATGTTGTACTCGCTTTACGGTTTGGGATTACCTATCAGAAGACAGAAAATACATTTGCCCGAAATAACGTTAGCTAGAATTTTCACAATGTCAAATATATTTTTTTAGATACAAAAGACGAAGATAGAGACAAAAGCTAATTTTGTCTTTGGGAAAAGCATCAAAATTACTCGAAAGCGTAACGGTTTTATTATAAATCGGTTTTCGGAATTACGGATATTTGAGTTTACGTTTAGTTGGAATATCGGTACATTTCTTATAGTACACGCTTATTTTCACATTTACAGTAATATGTGTATGTATGTATCTGCCCAACTCTTTGTTATTTCTCTAAGTGAATTTGTACAAAATTCGACATATAAAAATTAATTAATATTTACGACAAAGGCTACTTACTCCATTACTCTTGTGTTCAAGTAATTTTCAGTCGAAGCTAAATATGGTGCATTTTGTTAAATTTCCAGTAGTAGCTGAATATGGTGCTTTCGGGCCCTTAAATTGTTGCAAGCAAAATTAGGCACTACTGCAATGACGTTACAATTTAAATTAAATGTTTTAGTTTTTTATATTTCGTTACATCTCACTACGTTTGTATAGGTTAACTTCGGACATTTTTTTCGTTAGATCGTGGTTTTTGTGTTAGATCCGACGTCCATTTGTTGGTAGGTCAATGGGGACATAGTAACAGGTGACGAAACACGGATTTATAGTTACGATCCCAAAACAAAGCAGCAATCGAGCGTATGGGTCTTACGAGATGAGCCGAAACCAACCAACATGGCGCGAGTGCAAAGTGCCTCTAAGCGGATGATTGTTTCTTTTTTTAATAAAACTTGTCACGTGGCTACGGTTGCTTTGCTGAAAATCGTTGTAACGTGATTAGTGATTGGTACACGACCATTTGTTTGCCGGAAGTTATTGATAAACTCCGTAAAAATAACCGTAAATGCCGTATCATCTTGCACCACGATGATGCCAGTTCTTACACGGCCGAACAGACAAATGAATTTTTGAAGGTGAACAACGTTGACCTTATGAGCCGTCTCGCGTAAAGTCCCGACCTGACACTGTGTCTTTTATTTATTTCCAAAAATTAAGGACCAGTTACGCGGTCAACGATTTTTATCACCTAAAGAAGCTGTCGGAGAGTATGAAAAATATGTTTCAGAGATTGTCACGGAGGAGTGGCATAAACGTTTTCAAAATTTGTTCATTCGTATGAAAAAGTGCATTAACGCTAACGCAGAATATTTTGAGAAACAATAAATTCATTTCTGACCATTTATAGTATTTTATTCTTATTCATTCCGGAAACTTTAGTGCGCCTCACGTACTCGATCAAGTCAAAAGACAATGTCAAGTATGAAGCTTCATTCGCATCATGCGTCTTTTAATTTGGTCGAGTATTACTTATTTGACATTAATTGTTTCGAACGGATGTCCGACGTAGAACGAAAATGGACCCCTTGGCCACAAAGAGGCGGCTGCGGAAGTGTTCCGGAGACGGGAATTTATAACGAGTTTATATAAACTCGTACATTACAAAAATTCCCGTGTCCGAAACGATGCCGCGGCCGCCGATGTGTGGCCAGAGCATATTTTGATTGCTATAGACTTTTGATTTGTTTTATTTAATTGTTACATCAAAAAGAAAACTGATATATTGTCTCAGAATTAATACAAGTGCAAGATTGTGAAAATAATCCTTTGATTTAAATCAACGTGGTAAACTATGATTTGATATCATCTTTGTCACCCATGTGATAGTGCATGCCATAAGGCAGATACATCATTAGTACTAATTATGACGATTTCGAGCTTAAAGCGCCGTCTAGACGCGTCCGCTATCGCGTAGGGGATCAGATTTCAGCAACACTAAAGCAGAGTCTTCTAAAACGAATTTTGACTTCGATTAGGCAAAAATGGCTAAGCATGCATTTAATTGTACAATAATTGTCCAAGTTAAATGAAATTTTGAATTAACTTCGTAATTTTTGCTTAAAGTTCGTTTTATAAATCTCAGCCATAGAAAGTGCGCGAGACATCATATCGATTCCAAATAAATGCCCGTTGGTACCACCGGATGATCACTGAAGCCTGAGACGTGTTGACTAGACCAGGCTTTGAGATAGCTATATACCTTAAACCCATATAAATTTTCTCCACCAGATGGCTAAGGAGGCGAACGAAGGATCAAAACTTTGCGTAGAGCGAATAAAACAACTATTGGACTTAGAAAACACGCCACCTAACGACAACATGGAGTTATGAATGTGCGGCCTCTGTTGTAGTACTTAAAGGACTTTTTTGCACGTTAACTAAGTGAGTGAAGCCTTCTACACTTATGATTGGTTAAGAAAAATTATGGTTGTCTCCTTGTCTCTTATGGCGGTAACATCACACTAATTAAAACGAAAATTTTAAATTGTACTTTTCCAACTACCATACACTCCATTATTATTATTAATTGTAATCTGATTCGCAGCTTGTTGTAGCCGCTATCTTAAATATGTTATCCATTAAAAAAAAAATAAAGATACTCAAAGTTCGGTGACGCCGTAAAGGTATTGAGACAACCGGAGTATTACCGAAATCTCCCCTGATAACCCTGGTGTACTGCGCAAAGCTAGCTGATTCGAACATTAAAATATACATCCATTACATATTATGTACATACATACATTACTCATTTTGGATTTCCTTTAATATTTCTTATGTCGGAATTAGCTGGCCTAGCACAGTTGGATTATTAGATATTTTTCGCCGAAAGCACCACCAGTGTTGCGGTCGGGGGATTATGGTAATAATACGAGACAACCTATGCTATCCTTATATTTATAAAATTGAATACTAAATTGATGTCATAGTTTTAAACCAAATATAAGCTCTGTAATCCCGAGCACTACTTATGAATATTTATCGACGATTTCTATGTTGTCTTTCGTGTAGAAACGTATGAATGTATTTCCGACTATTTTAACGACTGCTGTTTAAATATAAACATTTTCGTTGTCATTCAAATCTGTGTAAATGGAGAAAACTGATAATTTATGTACAAAGATGACTAACACTCGATACGAAATTCTTAGCTTTTAGCTTCAAATAGAAATACTTACAACTTCTAAAAACTTTCAGAATTTCTATATTGCTTTTGTATGTAGGCAGGTGTTCATAAATTTCCACAATATATAGACAGAATTCATTGAAGATTCTAGGAGGTGAAAGTAGATCTATGGATAACTAGAAGTCTGAAAATAGTGTACAAAAGTCAAAAGATCATTACAATATTATTTACTAAATTATTGTCACTAAGTACAGGTATCTTACCACGATATGAGTTTATTTTTCTGTTACACACTCCATGGTCACGGATTGACTCAACAATCCATTTAACCCGTGACCATGAGCCGTGTAAACGTTCTGAAATATCGGGTAAATAAAAAGAACTCATATCGTGGTGAGAAACCTGTAATTAGTGATAATCATTTAGTGAATAACTATATTACTATACGGGATAATCTCTCATTTCTCATTAATTTTGTAATTCATTGATTTCATTACATTATTATAGGACATAATACACGACCTAATAAATTCTTGATCCACGAAACTTAAGTTTTTTAGTCGTCTTATGCTATTTTGTACGAAGTTAAATATTTACTTAAGGCTTTAATGTGTTGTGCCTGAATGTAAGACGTATTTGCTTAATCGTCGCTATGTTAAAGTATAATGGTTATTACAAAATGTAATCTTGTTATTAATTTATATGTCTATAAAATTTATCTCAGTATCTGTTACTTTCCTAACATTTACGATATTTTCTCGTACGCATTTTAGGTATGTATGTGTATTTCAAAATATAATTGATAATGTCTTCGGTGTCTAAATTCTGGGTTCTTTGTGGTCCTATACACAGTACATTAGATATATTTTTCAACTATTTAATTTAAACGTATTTGTGTAGCTAGAAATAAACTAGAAATACTATTTAAAATTACGAAAAAGTATTAAATTTAAAAACGCGTTTGCGATCAAGAAAAGTATCTCGTAATCCTGGAGGTATACTATTAATTCTTTCACCCGTTATGGAAATTTGCTCATATTACTGGGCAGTATCTTTATCATAACTACCATAACTATATGATATTTTTAACGAAATTGAGTTATTAACATATCAGCGAAACGAGAACTTCAATTCCCTCTGGTTTTTTATATCTCATTTTAGTTTCAGTTTTATTATTAAGCACAGTCAGTGTCATTGACAATTTTTACTAGCAATAAAGCTTCAGGTGCCAATATCTCGGAAGTTACATATATGCAATTGCGTTAGTAATGACAAGGAGACCGGAATATTAGTGCGATCGAATCACCATGACAAATTCTATTCGTCATTTGTATAACGCATCACATAACGAACTAAAGATTCTACTAATTTTGTAGCTTAATATAATGTAATTTAAAATTTAAGGTATATTTATTAACATGTTACAATTCGTTTTTTAATGCTTAATATTTTAAATGTATGTGATGTGCTTAATTAATGTTTTTATTTTTAATAGGTTTAACGCTACCTGAATTTTTCAAATTCGAATGTGGTTTTTATGTAATAAAAAATATGATTTCAAATAATCAACATTAATAAGATTTTTAGGATCTGTGCCTTCGATCGTATACACTATTATATATGACTACCAATGTATATCGACCCTGGAAAGGTAAAACGTCTAACGTGCATTTGAAAAAATATTACAGGACAGCGATTTAAATATTTTTTAATAAAAATCATAACTCTAATTTTATTTGTTACATGGGAAGCTAGACAGTTTCAGCTTAAATTTAGTTATGGTTTTTTTTTTCTTTAAAAAAACATACTTTTTCTCAAACATGCTCTGAAATATTTGCGTTACTTTCAAAGAACGAACACGGAAAGTTCGTCATTTATAGGCCGTACGACTTCTTCCCGGTCAAGGCATGCAAAGTATGGAAATTCATTACTGTCCACTTCTTTAAACTTTTAAATCTACCTACAAATAATGAACTATGTAAACAGGCAAAAGAAAAACAAATACAACCAACTGCCCAGTGTTCATAGGTGCTTTTTCTATTATACATCTTTTTCTCTTTAGTCTTATTATTTCCTCTCATTGTTTGAGAAAAATACTATACATTCCTCGGCAGGAACGGGGATTGCTTGACTCGACCTCCCTGACGCTCGTCCTTTAACTCATACTCGTCCAGCAATCCCTTACTTCCTGGCCTCTGCAATAATGTACTTTAAATTGCTCTCCTTTAATATTTTCCAAATTACTGTTATATTTTCCAAATGCACGTTAGACGTCACTGGAAAGGTAAAAACCTTTCCAGTGTCGATATGACAACCTGTATATATGATCGAAGATATTATGTATTGTCTTTTATAAGATATGTGTTGTCTTTTATGCCAAACGGTACGAGAGGTAATAAATTTGTTAAAGAATAGTACAATTAATATGAACTAAAAGCTTTACAGTGTTTGTTCACGGGTAGTAATATTTGATGATATTTTATTGTTTGGACTGTTACATATAATCTAACTTTGAAACCTGATAGTTAATTCCTGTTGTTTTTTATTTTTGTTGAGTCAAATACAAAAACTATTAGAAATAACTTAAATTATTTATCAATTATCCAAAATTAAAATGCTCAATGATTGTTAGCTATATTTTTTGATGAATTTTTGTACGAAATTCCGAAGTTAAATTACAATTAAGAAATTATGATTATGGAATAATTTTTGTGAAGCAATCATTTAATGAATACGGAGACATTGATAAATGATCCTAATTATTCACCTATCAATGTCTCCAAAGTGGGATCCCAGCTTAGTACTAGCGCCAGTCTGTTCTGCCCTCATTATCCATGGTTTGCAATAAATGATATTCTATTCTAACTAACGTAATCGACATTTTTAACTAAATCTAGTTAATAACATACCTGGGATCAGCGAAAAAAGATCTTCGACTCTATGGAAGCGTTTTTTATATACGTTGTTTTATTTTTAAGCAAAATCGTCATCAGTCGTAATTGACATTTTGTAAAAAGCTTTAGATGCCAATATTTTGAAATTTACCGAAATGCAAAAGTGTTACTTATGACCAATGGTCGGAACAAGGGTTGCACATGTCGATCACTAGTTTGTCCTAACCGATATCTAGGATTTTACAATACTCTTTGTGAGTAACTAGCTTTGCTGAATAAAACTGAGAAATGCTAAAGTCACATGTTATGCTCATTTCAGTGAATTCAAAACTTTAAAACGCTCCCCTGTTAACCTGGCAATTTCGACATACGATACTTTACGTAGGGGGGGGTGGACATATAGATACATGTATAGACATAGCTACAAGCAGCAACATAGAGTTGTTAACGCCAAAAAAAATTAATTAATTACTTTTTCGAATTCCGGATTTCCGGATGGTTTTACTGCATCGTAGGACAAACTAGTGATCTAGGAAGTCGAAGTTGGATTTTAAAGTAATTCTAATGGTGCCATGTAAAAAAATGCAGTAGATGACTGACAGCCTTGTTACCGCTCCATCAATGTGACCGACAATATACGGGACGCGGTGCGGTATCTAAAGGTAGGGAGGGGCGGAGAGTGAACATTCTCGTTACTTATTTTTCTCTGCTTTTGGTAAAAGGTCAGCTATCTACTGCATTTTTTTCATGGCACCATTAGCATTACTTTAAAATCCAACTTCATCTTTGTAGGTCAGTAGTTTTGTCTTAGGATGCAGTAAAACCATTTCCGGAAATCCGAAATTCGAAATAATAATTAGTTAATATTTGGTGGTTTTAACAACTCTATGTCGCTCCTTGTAGCTATATCTGTACAAGTATCTATATATCTGGAACACCTTTTTCCAACCATTGGTTACGACAAAGGGGGCAGAATTACGCTAGTACAAGTAGATTGCTAAAGACTTGCAAAAGACGAAAAGGGTTCTTGTTCAAATTTTACACACCCCCAACCCTATGTAAACCAACAAAAATCATCATGAGTGAATTATTTTCAATTGTCAATTTGGTTGACTTATACACTAGCTTGCCTTGCAAATTTTTATATCTTTCAATTGTAGTAGTGCCACTATATTGTCGAATGCTCTATACCTTGAAATTTACCACAATTATAAAGTTTGTTTAGTTTTCCCAAGTGGTTAAGAGTCTATACAAACTCAAATGGCTTTGTTTGATTCCGCATAACAGTGAAAGTGTTGAATCAATCACTTTAGAACAAATATATATTAAAATTGAGGATATACATTGATTACTATACGGTGTGTACAAAGTTGCCTCGAAATTTTACAAGAAAACCGCTGTATTCAATAGGTAATTTACATATACCAATGATTTTTTAAATATCAAGTGAACTAAATAGATCACGTATATTATGCACATTTTACAAATGGCTTTAATTTCGTTTGTAAAAAAATAACTTCAGAAATAAAA